CCAATATAATTTAAAAAGTAATATTACTGATATATTTGCTATAAATCACATAACAGTATTTATTAAAAGAAATGAAATATTAATGTATATTCTCAGTAGTTTTAATTTGCTAAACCAAGTAGTTTTTCAAGTAATAATTGTCTCTTATGTGAACTGAGGAAAAATATCATTTCCAACTTTATTTTTTCAATTGGTAATTTTTATTTTCACTAAATGTTAAGTATCAATGTAGTCGTTTTTGTAATAATAGATTAGTACGCAATTGTTTGTCAACACATTATTTATTACCTTTAACTGTCTGGAATTTATTATTAAAGGGCTGCGCTTGCGTAAAATTTACTATCGTGGAAATTCAGCTTTTTTGCCTTTTGGCTAATCTCATCCCTGGAAAAAGAGTTCAATAACTGTGCTAAAAAAATTGTGCACTTTCTTTTGGAGCTGTTGAGAATTAGCCTAAGCTTTAAACATTTGAATTATTACTGAGCAGTAAGTTACTACTTGAACTATAGATAATGAAATTTTTAAATGTAGTACAATATATTAATAAAAAACTTCTTATTTTCATTCTTTTGTAATTAACAAATGTTATTATTTTCTTTTTCTATCCGAGAAAATCTAATTTAATTGCAGTTCCATAAAAAATGCTTTCTGTACAAGAAATTTAGCACAATTTAAGGAAAATATTTCTTCTAATTGAAGTAGTAATTATGCACCACTATAACTAATAACTCTTTAATGAGCTTAACCTGAAATTAAACTTAACCTGAAATACTTCAATAACTAAGCAAGATAATTAAAATGTCCTTTATTTAAAAAAAGTTTATTGTTCAATGCAACTTTGGATTCTAGTTCAATATTATTTTGTTTTGATGTAATAAATAGTCTACAAACTAATGCATTCAGTTTAAATTTGGCCCTGCTTTATCTGGAGATATTATGTTCTGTTGTATTAATACAAACCTAAAAAATATCTTTGTTTAGATAAGAATTTTATTTTATTAATTATAGTTTTTTTAAAAAAACTTTTATTCCTTGCATATATTTTGAAATTTATAATGACTAATTTCAAAGCTGTTCTTGGCGTGCTCTGTTGTCATATGAAGCATTGTTTTCAGTGGGTAATATGCTATTGTTGTGAGCTTCTAACAGTTATTAATGACTGTTTAAAAAGATGCTGTACCATCAGAAAAATTTTAAATTGCAAATTTTATTTCACCTTTATAATTTATTTAAAAGATAGAAAAAGCAAGTTCAGGTAAACTTAGAGTGGGGTGGGTCATGAAGTTTCAATTGCTAAGAATTACTTGATCCTAAGTTATCCTCTCATAATTTGTTTTCACTTTGAGATTTGCATGAATTCACTTTTTATATACCTAGAATTTGTGATAAAAATTTTCTCCCGCAATGTAGCATCCTCTTTAAGTTTTGTTCATTGTTATCCCTTTATGCTAACTATAAAAATGGGGCAAAATGAAAGAAAGCGACCCATTTATGATCTAATTTTTTAATGTTTGAAGTTACTTCATCATTGCATTGTTTGGGCTCAAAGAAATACATAGAAATTAAAGATATTCATCAATTTTATTCTATATTTCAACAAATTGGCAATTTTTTAAAAACCTTAAAACTTTTTAGATATTTAAGCTATTTCTCCATGTTAAAGTTCAGACAAATTTTATCAACAAGCTGGTATATCTAGTTTAAAATTAATGCTTTGCACTTAAGCAATTGAAACTGTGATTTTTATATTTTTCTTTGCGAAAGAACTTCGGATAATAGACTTAAATGCTTTTTTTTTATCTGACTGAAATATCTTAATTGTTCTTAGGTTAGTGATATTTGTTGCTATAATTTTTTTTCCTTTTTCATATCTTTGCTAGATTTAAGTAAAATACTAACATTTATTTATGGCTATTTTAACAATAAAGTCTTCTAAGAAACTAACAAATATACTCTATTCTTTATTAGACCAAGAAAATTGAGAAATGCTTAGAGAAACTGCTTAGGGCCCTAGAAAAAGACCGCCGACACACCCTCAACCATTATCGCCACCTGTTGAATTCTAATCTTAAACAGGCTCTGAATGAAAAGGAAGCCACACTTGAGCACCTAGACAGCCTTAATAAAATAGCTAATCAGAGCCTTTCTATGTTGGATAGAGTTCCCAATGTTGCTGAGAAAATTAGGATGAGGATGGGTAAGATTTTTCATTCTTCTTTTATGTGTTAAATAGATGTATTTTAGAAAGAAAAAAAAATTTTTAAAATCTAATTACTAAAAAGTGTTTGTTTTGGTAAAACAAAACTTTTGTGACAAGTTTCCACTAATCATTAAAACATTAGGAAATTAATAGGAAAAATACAATGTAATAACGCTTAATTAAAAATGTTAAAATGCATTAAGCAATTTTTGTGCTAATGACGTATATCTGTCGATATGACAAAAATACACCATTTATATGTTGTGCAGTGGCGGATCCGCCCCCCCCCCCAAAAAAAAAAAAAAAATCTTNCAAAAAAAAAACAATTTGCAAAAAAAAACTAATAATTTTTTTAATAGTTTACAAGGGAATTTAAATATTTTAAAAATTATTTAAGGGGGCATATACATCTAGGTAGGTCGGAAAAATCGATTTTTTCTTTCATCTAATTATGTTCTTCACTGTTCACGAATCATAATCCAAAAGATTAAAACGAAATTCGTCATAGTTTCATTGTAAACCTCAATAATGTTGAAGCGCGCTGAGTGCTCCCAGCACGCTTCAACTGGTTTAACCAAAGATTGTATAAAGGTGAAGATGGGAAACTCGTAACTAAAATTTGGCACCATGCTTGAATTATTTATGTATTGTTCTATTGTTCATTATGAAAAAAATAAATGCGAAGACTAGTGTTAAAAACCCCCAGTTTTTTTTCCCTTTCAAAAAAAATATTTAAAAAAATTAATTGTGTGGGGGGGGGGATCTGCGTCTATGATCCCCCCCCCGGAAAAATTTCTGGATCCGCCCCTGATGTTGTGGTAAATAATTATCACATTATGCCTGCATTTGGTCAGTGAATATATGTTAATTTGCAAACTTATAACCGTCGTTGACCAGCCGACCAAACTTTTGGGTTTACGACTACTAATGTTCAATTTTGTAGCCTTGTTATTTTGAACCCAATCCAGAAAAAAAGGAATTCTGGACTAAATATTGGGAGAAATTTGCCTTCATAACGGACTTTTTAATGGAACTAACCTGCATTAGCGTTACATGGAGTGGAAAACCTCCCACAGTTAGCCTGACAGCAATAGGGACTCTAACCCATGATCCGTCTACCATTGTGGAAGTTTTACGTCAGCACTGTGGTCGTTGCAAGCAGGATGCGAAATTTGTATCACCCAGCCATCGCTGGGAATCGAAACTGGTAATTTGTAAAATTGAAAATGTTTTATTATATGAAGTATTTATTGTCCTGACGTGTGAGTTGATGTTAATTAATGGATGCTGTTATTAATAGGTCAGTGCCAATATAGCGATTGTGGTGTACCGACAACCAATTAGAGAATATTATCATTTTTGATGCATAAAAAATATTTTTCTTATTGTGTTGATATTTTAGAAGCTTTTAAATTTTACCTCTGAGTTTCACGCTATCAAATTTCATATCTTACTCATTCAAATGAGTTATATTTTGTTGTGGTTTTATAATCCATTAGTATAACATTTCAGTTTATTTTCTATTATTTTTTAATTTTTATTTTTGTGTGGATTCTAATGACTTATGTTTTCTGCTTTCTTTTGATGACTTCCATGTTGTCAGTGCTGACGCATGGAGGGAGACCAAAATTATCAAATAACTACCTTTTTTTAAGCTTTTGTAAATAGTTTTTTACTTGTTCTTTGAAGAAAATGGAGTGTGGGGTTTAAGTTAGCTGTTCTAAAATTATGATTTTTTTTAACAGTTGCTGTTTGGCATCATTTACATGGATTAGGACCCAAAGCAGCTATCACACGTGATGTAGATGAAGCTATTGTGGAGAAATATAAGGAAGAAGTTACTGAGAAGCAAAAGGGTAGGTTTCCTAAAAGGCAGAAACTGATTATATTATTGTAAATCTCATAGAAACCTGGTAACAATCTATCGTTAAGTTCTAGGGATCAGCAGTATAAAATTTAACAATATTTTCCCATAGTGAAATCATCATTCGTTAATGCTTTTAAATTTTAATACTTTTTATTTTTTAAAACCTTTTTAGAAGGAATTAATTAATTAAAGAAAGCCGATTCTATTTCTTTTCTCTACTGTTTAATACTGACACTTGAGTAACAACTGAATAATTGGATGATGAATTCCAAATTATGAATATTTATTTTTATCCTTGTATTATAATCATCTTATTATTATAATTGGAAATATATTGTAAAACTTACAAACCTTTCTAACAACTCAAAATTATCAAACATTGATTTTCATATTTATCTTATTTAAATGACATTTTACTATTGGTTTAAAAATTCATTATCGCGATTCATAGTCATGTGAGTTTAAAATCCAATGTCTTGATTCGTATTCCTGTGTTTTTAAAATCTAATATTGCTATTCTTATTTTCTTGGTTGTAATATCAAGCATCAATTTTCATATTTATGCATTATTTAAAAACTACGCTTTGCGATTCATATTTACACGATCTAAATTTATGCCTCGGAATTCCTATTTACGGGATTTAAAAACTCAATATCACAATTCACCTTTGCATGAATTTAAAATCCAATGTCGTGAGTCATTTTCACGTGATTTTAAAATCCAATATTGCAATTCTTGTAAGAAGTAACTTTCTTATTGAATAAGTTAGTATAAAAGAGTGATATTCTTCATTAGTAGCTAATTTATTGGAAATGTTAATTCAAAATTTATGTTAAATATGAAACATGTGTGGTTTGTAAATTGATATCTTGACATCGATTTTTTGACATAAAAGTTTTAGGGTTTTTTACTTTGTGTCACAATTACTCCTGCCTTTATCTGTCTTGCATTCACACAAACTTCAGAGCGAACTTTTATTTTAGAGACTCTTACTACCTTATTTAATAGCTTAGAAAAATCAGTTTTAATAAACAAAACAAAAAAAAAATGTTGCTCAAAATGTGTCTTCTTAAAAGAGATTACTAAAGAATTAATTAAAATTAGCAACACAGCTTTTTTTTTTTCATTTGTTGAAATTGCAATAGAACTTCATGTTTATTATAATTTCAAATGAAAAGAAAGGATCATCGACACTAGGTTTTCTTTACATTTGAAGCAATTATCACCATTACAAAACTTGTAAGTTTTTTGAAGTTTAAGATAACTAAGCTTATAAAGAAACTCATTCTGAGTTTTGAACTTCACAAATCAATAGATTCCCCAAATATAATTTACTTCTTAGACTAACCCAGTTTCAAGCTTGTGTGACAGCAAGTGTGTCTTTTTAAATGATTTTATAAAGATAAGAAATCAACAATTAGTTATAATTTGAACGCTTTTTTTTCTTCTTCTTGATATTAAAAACTGTTTTTTGATCAACATTATTGAAAAGTTATTTTGGCAGGGGAAAAAATTGCAGTTTTGTTATAATTCTCAAACTGCTTGGAAATACATAAATTTAAGCTTGTAGATTTAAAAGTTCATTTAAAATTGACTATTTGTGCAATATAGTGCTAAGTTATTTAATTAGTAAATGTCGTAAAATATCTTTTATGAAACATTTTATTTTCCTTTTATATTTAGAAAAATTGCCTCAAATTCTTTTACCAACAAAATTTTTTTTACTATCTATGCATTAATTTTATAATTTTGGTATTTACAATTTTAGTTTTTTTTTTTGTGAAACATAAACTAATATGTTTCCGTTTTAAAAAATGAAAATTTTTTTGTTCAAAATCTATGATTAAAATGTTCCTCAATTAGGAGCATGGATAAGATAAACCTGGAGAGACCATTGTATGCTAATTTTCTATTTTGGCAAAAATTTAATTTTTCAGAGTAAGTAGTATGTATTGGAGAAGTTTTTTGTATAAATGCTTGTTCCAAAAATGATTGGAACTTACTGTTTTGTGTAAGACTCTTTCTAAAAAATTTGGAATTGTTATATTTCAGAACGAGAAAGACAGAAGAAACTGATGGAAGAAAGGAGGCAGGAATTGAAAGAATTACGTGAAGAAAAGAAGCGAGTTATTGCCAATCATGGTGGCAAACTAGACAGAGAATTTGATCCTGAATCAATGGAAGATGAGAGCATTATTGAAAGTACACCAATGCCTCAGCCAGTAAAGTTGGCGGATCTGTCAGGTGTTGAACATAACTCTGTTGATCACGAAGATATTCCCGTACCCAAACTGGCTCATATACAGAACCAACCATTCCACCATAATGAAGTTGTAAGTAGTACAACTAATTTCTTAAAAATTTATTGATACTATAAATTAAAATATAAGGTAAATGATAATTATTTGATACATAAAAACTCCTAAAAGAAATTAGGTAACTAGTTTATGTTACTTGGTCAGTGTGCACGGTGAAATATGAATTGAGTGAATAACTTTTGATCTAATGATTGGTTTTCCATAAAGTCAAACCCCAATTTCTTGAACTCAAAGAGAGACACTAAATGTGTTGCGATGTCAAGAATAGAGGATTTCAAAAATCAACTATTTTTAATTTTAAATTTTTTAGGAAACCCTTCAAATTAATATTTGTATTCATATTTTAAAAGTTGATCAACAATTTTGCTTTATTATTTTATTTTACGTTGAGTGTCATTAATCTGTATCGTAGTCTACCTCTTCTAATATGTCTCCCGACGTTGTAACCTCTTTTAATATTTCTGATTCTGACTAATCACCACACATTGCAAGACTATTGTTTATTGTTACAATATCATCAATATCGTTTGAAATCATTAAATTCGAAATTCTTAAAGACTTATTTTTATATGTGTACACATTCTAATCTACTTCTTTGGATGATTCAGGTATTCAATGATTCATATCTTCAGCTTAATTATTTAATCTTTCAAGTATTTGCTATCTTATTCAATGTTTTCAAGAAATAATTCATCTTAAAAACTTCTTGAATAATTTTATGAAGTTTTAAAAAACATTTTGAATTCTTTAAAAATCAGGGGGAAATGGAAGAGCAAAAATATTTTGTAAAATTAATCGTCACCGCGAATTGTATTCAGATATTAGCGGTTTCCTTTCATTATCAGCATAACAAATGTCTAGGGAGTTCAGATTTTTAAATGATATCAAGAATTCGTATTATTGTAGATCATGATGCCTAGGTTTGATTGTGATACGATATTATCTTAATGATTTGGGTTTTATAATTAAGTTACTATACTTTTAACACTTAATTATTATTTAAGTATACTTTTTATTTGCTTAATTTGTTCTATAAATATAATAAGGTATGTAGAAAGCAAAATTAATATTAACTTTTAAGTTCTACCATTGGAATACTGCTGAATCTCTCGTGAGTTCTCTAGATCAATCATGATTTTGCTTCTAAGTTCACATTTCCTAGAAAATATTGGTACTCATTGTGGCTTGATAACAAAATATATCTTCAATTTATATTATAAAATATATCCTCAATATAATTGCAATTATATTTGCATTTTTTATGTAATTGAATCCAATTATCATGATTAATATAATAAAAGCACAATTTAATATGAACTATATTGAAAATCAAAAAGTGAAAAAAATAAAACACAAAAAGTTCTAAGTTAAAACAGCGCTGAGCTGCTAGTGTTATAACTGGAAGAAAAATATTTTTAAAAAAATGTAAAATAATACAAAATTCCTGACCAAAATCCAATCTCTCTATATGAAATTGTTAATTGTGCCATTTGTTTTGTAGACATATTTTGTTAATTTTTCCATGATGCTGTCTCTCTATATGAAATTGTTAATTGTGTTATTTTGTTTTGTAGACATTTTCTGTCAGAAAAGAAAGCATGGAGAGACTGAGATGGAATGGAAGTGTGTACATTACTTTGGCCTTTGCTGGTGTTGCACTTCTCACTGCAATGATTGTTGGCATAGTCCTGCTGCGGCGACACTCGCATCGCTCCCCACATGGGCAGGGATTTGTTGAAGTGGACCAGGCTGCAACCCCTGAAGAGAGGCATGTAGCCAACATGCAAATCAACGGTTACGAAAACCCAACCTATAAGTATTTTGAAACCCAGAGCAATTGAAGATTTATTTTTAATGTTTTACTTTACACCACTAACCGAACACTTAACTAGCATTTTAGTCGTTGCCAGTTTTAGTAGGGGGGATTTATTATATGAAATATTTTTTATTTTGTAGTTTGATAGCTTTCTTGCTAAATATAGAAAGTCTATGAAAGGAACATTACTTTTAATGGTGTGACAAAAAAATTCTTTTAATCTCTCGATTTGAATTTTAGAAGGAATTGTTTTGCTGAGTTATGTGACTCAATATGATACTTAACGCATTTTTTAAAAATTTTTGTTTCCTCTTGTTTGCATTTTTATTAGATTCATTATAGAAACAAATTAAGTTGATTAATATATTTCTCATTAATTTTATTTGCTTGTTTCAAATGTGTTATCTAAGTAGTACATCATATTTAATAATTTTAATCATAAATTTCATCTCAAATATCAAGCCTTTATTTTAACTTGTTTTTTGTTCACTATTTGTATTATTTTAGTTTGTATATTGATTGTATAAGGAGAAAGTATTGTGAGAAAATTGATTTGAATAGATCAATTGATATGGATTATGATAAATATATATTGCTGTACACCTGTGTATTGCTATTTAATTAGTAGTATCCTAGAATATTAAGGCCAATATTTACATTCCTTATCTTTATTTGTGCCATGTACCTGCTGCGGTTTATATTCGTTAGTTGGCCCACAAGCAATAGCGGCATTGAATTTTTACATTATGTACATATAGAACATTTCATGTTATCATGTCACATTTTATTTAGCTTCTTGTCCTGTGAGAAAATCTGGAATTGCAAATGTGTCATCGCTGCCTTCATTATTCTTTAATATTTCTAACTCTCAGATTACTAGTATTAAATAAAAATTGATGACATTTGTGCACTTTCTTTAAAGTAATGATCAAGTATTCGCTGGGATTATATAAGTAAATATAAACGGTAATTTATATTTGCAATTCTGCTTCCTCACAGGCATTTAAAAACAACAAATACTTTAGAAAAAGCATGGAAGTATACTTTTAAAGTTTCGTTTATTTAGTGAGCCAGCGATTCTACTATCTCACAAATATATTTAATAAACCTCTAACTCCCATTTTGTGGTATTTTGTAATCTATTGACCTACCGTGTTGTCCTGTGCATGTTAACTGTAGACATTGTATTAATGTGTAAGTTTTATACGGACTGTAATAACAATCTTCCATGTGCAGTATAAATAAATTAGATTTTGCTGTAAGGAAACCCTTTTTCTTGAAGAATAAAAATTTTTGTTTAGAGAAGTTTATCATTAACCAAGGAGGATCTAGTTTGTTTCTAGCTAACTGGTGATATTTTTGAAACTAATAAAAAGCTAGGTTACAAAGTGTACAAAAACGCTGTCTTCGAATATTTTTCATTACACGTTTTTGTATACATTGATGTGTTTGAATCTATATAACTAAAAATGCGGGAGGACTTTTTAAGCGTTCCCAAGTTAGATTAAATGATGTTTAGCTTACTTTTATAGTTCTCAAGGTTTAAGTAATTGTATCATAATGTTCTTAATAATTATTCTATATTCTGAAATAAAAAATTTATTAGTGATTAAAATTATGAAATTAAATAAAAACCTTTCATAAGGTTGGTTATATCGTAGAATTGAAGTTATACAATACTGCACTGGTGAGCTTTGCTGTGACGTTTAAATGTACAAAAATAAAATTGTCAAGCTTAGTGAATTCATCAGTTTCTTGTAAAATTGTATTTAAGGCTTGCACATATCAGTATCGTATTGCCCAGTGTAATGTTGCAATATTTGTTTTCCATTATATTAACAATATTTATGCTTTGCTTTTGATAAATTCATGTAACAACTACTTAAAGGCCTGTTGTAAACTACCTGCTGCAGTAGAATATTACTGCTGCATGGTAGTAAAAAATATTAAAAGATGAATTTTTAAGTTAATTGAAGTAACAAGTACTGTAGTGCACAAAATGTCATTCAATATGTGGTAAATTCTAAATAAAGGATTAATGATAATGTCTTTTTTTTTATTTTTATAATTACAAAATTTAGGATTATATTTGCATCTTTATGGATAAATAATTTTTAATTTTGCTGCATTTGGGAGTGGCAGTAATGCATATTTATAGAGCAGCATAACTGCCAACATGGATAGGAAAAAATCCAGTAGATTCTACGCAATAACACACATTTCATGATAATTGTTTAATAATGTACCAAATATTTCACACATGGGGAATTTTAGGGATTTTTATAGTCATCGAAATAGAAAAACTGCAGTATTTTCCAGTCATGATTGACACTAAACATACTTGAAATCTTATGTATTATGTTTACTCATAGTTTCGAATATTAATAGGCATTTAATTCATCAAAGACAGTTAAAAGATTTTTTTAAATTAATTTAAAAAAAGAGAGTTCTGAATAAAAAATAAATGAACATTTTTGAACAAATAAAGTTTTGAACTGATTTCTATAAATGAGGTTCGCTTCATTATGTATTAATAGTTCTTATTTAATTATTCCAGCATGCAAGCAATAACCAGTACTGAAATTTTATTTCAATAGGTATTTTTTTTAGGAAACTTGCTCATTTTTAGGCAATTTTCTAAAATGTACAAAAATCGTGAGAATTTTATTTAAACCAGTAGACCAGGAGAAACTGGCAAAATCCAGTAGAGTTGGCATCTATGGAGCAGTAATTTTGCTCTATCTATGAATCAATTTTCAATAACCACAGAAGACATCTATTCATAATAGAAAATCAAAATGTATCTATTTTTATAACTAATATTAATTTTTTGGAGTAAATGTGGCACTAAAAATAACTTTCACTAGGAACAAATAAATATATAGATATTAAATATATTTCTTTCCATTTAGATCTTTTATTGTTTTAGCAGTTTATTTCAAAATTTAATGAAAATAGCATAACACTTTCTCTTAATGTGGGTATTTTAATACAGTTATAGGTAAAATAAGGATAGTATTACTACTTTAAATCAAGATTCTTAAGAGGGAATTTCTTTTTATTTTAAAGGCATTCTAATTTGGGATTATTTATATAAGTATTTTTTAAAATCTAAATTGGGGTTATAGATATTTTAAAAATTTCTGACTTATGTTAGCATTCATGTCTTAGCTAAATTAGAAATTAATGATTTAGAAATTTCATTTTAAACATGACACTCCGTTTATTTATAATAGCAAGAAATTAATAAAAAAAGTCTAAAAGAGAGAATTTTAAGTAAACTTCTAAATTCAAAAAACTTATTATAAATAACAAATGCATAAAGAAAGATTTTTTTTATTTAATAATGAGAAGGAAGTTCATCTTCAATAATCTACTGTATTGCAATATAAAACATAAATGGAAAGAAAAAAAAGTTTAATGTATTGCCATATTTGTATAAGCATTATTCTGCAAAAAAATAATAATTTTTTTATCACTTTCCTGAAATTTTATTTTAGCGTTGATAAGGTCTTGGGAAGGGAAAGAATAGTTATGAAGCTGCTTTTCTGAAAATTTATTGTGAAGCACTTGCATTGTTTTTTAATTGCACAGCAGTAATCTGTTGCTTACTTTTAGCATGTTTTTAATAATACATTTTAGTTAGCACAAGTTAAATCAGTGGGGAGAAGTTTCAAGAATTGTGAGACAATACGACAAATGAGTTAGTATAATGATAGCCACTTAAAACTTTTTTACAGTTGTTATTTTCTTTTTGTCATCAGTTCTTATTAAATAAAGAAAGGTTAAATCAATGGGATGCACGTGCTATGTACCAATTCAGTATGGAAATATGTACCAACATTAAAAAGGATACATATGCATTTTTTATTTTGGACAGGAGATTTCGCTTATCATATACAAAATTTTAATAAGTCTATTTTTTTCACTTCGAAATTAATCAATTATGCTTGTGAAAAAGTTTGCTTTAAGTTTAAAAATATTTGTTTTTCATTATTCGTATTTAAACTGCTTAATAAACTTCACAATTGAATATTTATTAACATTTCATAAAATTGACAAGACATGGTAAATTATTTCATACAAACACATCTTATAAATGTTCTGTTTATACATAAGCTCTTCCAAATTTTAACTGGAATAATCAACACAGTAAAATACACATAGGTAGTTTTATATTGATAATACATTTTAAAACAGTCTGGCAAAAGTGTTATACAATAACAACATAACTTTAAAGAACAAACAACTACACTTACAATCACAACTGTTAACACAACATCTAGCAAACATTAATTTACTGAGCATTTCTATTTTAAAACTTTATAAGAGTTAAACATGAAACGGAATCATTGGATTGGATTGAAAGTAAAGTAACATAGCATGAGAATCTGACATGCTGCACCAAAATCGATAGTTAACAGTCATGTAAACAACATTTTAAGCAAAAAATGAAAAGAAAAATAACTTAAATATTTCAGGCCCACAATACCCATATTCGGGAAAGGATAAACACCCAGTGGGTTGTAATTTTCTTGTCTCTCTTTATCTGCTTTAAAATGCATTTTTATTTAGTTACTGAATTTTAAACATCAATTAAATTATTCATAAAGCATGTAACAATATTTTTTCTTCAACTTTTCAAAACTGCTTAAGTGAAGTGGACTTGGCAAGTTTTAATTACTTAGCAGAAAATTAATTTACTATAACTCCTCAAAGTGCTTGAATCTTAAACTTTCAATTACTAAGCAAATAATTTAACAATATCAGTTGAATTGTGAAATAGGGTTCACTCGTATCTCTGTATGTTTTTTTTCTTTTAAATTTATTATATAGCTTTAATAAACTTGACAACTTTTCATTACAAGTGATTTACACTCTTATTTAAAATAAAACTGTATTATATGAACTAGAGCACCAAGTTTATGAAAAGGAAAAACTTACTCCGAAAAATGTATTATCTTAAGAATATTCTTTTAAATGTTTCTAACACTGTTTATTTCTATAAAATGTCTTTCAAAAATCTCTTAAATGGACTTAACAAGTTTTCATACCTTAAGTTTTTATTACTAAGCAGAAGTATTTTGATATCTTAACAGGTAAACAGCTTTAATTCAGTTTGTTACACAGTAATTCAACATCACACACTTAACAGTAATTGTACAAATGTTACGAAAGCACCTTTACAAGCAAGTCAAACAAAAGCAAATCATAATTATTAGATCTATTTCTCACCATAAGTTTTTTTTTTAAAATTCATTTAAAAGTTCAAATAAAATTGGTATAAAAATATCAATTTTTAAAGAAAACGGAGACTGATAGAAAAGATTCACATTCAGGCATAAGAGTTTAAGGAAAGAAAGTACGAGAATAAATTTGAAAAAAATTGAGACTAGTATTATGTTTGCTAGAAATATATAACCAATTATATTATAGTTTAAATTCCACTTATTTAGGGGGATATCATATTTTATATTATGTAGTAAACACAGCAAGTTTATAAATAACTTTTGACGAAGGCATGAATGTATTATAAAGGAAAAGGTTATAATATATAGCATTTAAAAAAATTTTGAAAATCTTTGAGAAATGAAACATTAGTTTTTTATTTTATTTATTAAATTCTAAATTAGTATATATAAATAAAACTATTGATATAAATTTGGATGACTAAGTTTTATTAGTTTACTTTTATAGAATCTATATCAAGATTTATATTATAGATATTATTTTTATAGAATCTGTAATATAGATCATACATTAAAAAATAGAATAAGACAGAAAAATTTTGGCAGTAAAGTTATTTTACAACATCCCTAGAAATATAATAAAGAATTTGAAAATTATTAAAAAACAGGAAAAAAAGTGGGAAAATTTTAAAACTTTACCAAACTATTTCACTAAAAATAGCACATTAAATTATATTAATAATATTTGCATTGCATATCCAGATCTTCAGAAAATATTACATATGACTTAAACATTAACACAAAAACACTTAAACATGAAATATGTTATTAAATAAATTCACTAGAAAAGAAATTAGGTAAAAATGATTTTCTTTAACACTTTTTAATAATGTATAAAGTAGTCATAGTTATTATACCTTAGGAATGCACAACCTGTCTCTTAAATAGTTACTGAACATACTGCCCCAACCAACCAAAAGTTAACTCAAAAAACTACACAGTGTAATAAATATTAGAATATATTTTTGAAACTGATCTCAATGTACTTTGAAAAAACATCAAAATAATTGTAACATTCCAAAATATAAAGGTACAAATCCAAGATGTCAAAAGATTTAATATTTGTGGATTGATTTTATTAAAAAAAAATTTCTTAAAATTTCTTTTTTACCAAAAATAGAGATAGTATATAAAAATTAAAGTGATATAATAATAAAAGTTAACCCAGATAAATGATCAAAAATAATGAGAATTATTTTTCCATAGGAAGTTAAATACCTAATTTAATTTCATTAAAAAACTTCAAGTGATTTTTTTTTTTATTATCTTAAACCATCATACATTTTCAAAACATCTTTTACTTGAAATTTATGGTATTTTACCCAATTATAGACTTAATTATCTAGCATCACCAGTTATATTCAATTACAGAACACCACTTAATGTAGATTTCAGTGGAGATGCGAGCCCGTGAGAGTTAACAATAATAAGAGAAGTGGCCACTGTATACAAGATTACTTTGAAAAGAAAAAGTATTAATTTTTTACAATATCAAACAAGAAAAATTATAAGAAGACGATCAAAATTTTTTAAAAAATTTCTATTGTGTAAGATAAAAACGTTAATAACAAAGCTATATATGAAGACATCGACATTGAAAAAGAAAGATTGAAGAAAAAGTTTCCTTAAAATTCAAGCTGCAGTTGAATTAACAAACATTTAATTAGTTAAAACAAATATTTATTTTCTGTTTAATTTAAATATATTTAACTAAATAAAATAAATAATGTAAAACTAGAATAACACTGTTGATAATGTAAAAGGAATGAAAACACACTAATTATAACTCCTTTAATTTTTTAATCTATTTAAATTCCTAAAACCACAATTCATTTTTACGTAGATTCAATAAAGAAATAATTAGCACCAAAAGCTAAACTGCAAACGATTCAAACAAGTATTTTAAAATAACGAAATCTATTGGTGTCATAGGTATAACTAGTCTGACAGGAGAAAAAAAAAGGAAAAGATCCTGGATTTCGAGGAATTATTTTTATGGGGAAAAAAAACCTCAGAAGAAAGAAAAATTTCTCGAAAAAGTAAAAATTCTCAGCAATTCCTTTTAACAAATTGGTTTTCAGTTTCTGAACATAATCTAAATATGTATCTCCACTCCAGAAAATCAAAAGTACTCGTACTTTTCCTAATAATTTTAATAAAAGTCATTAAGACATTTTCTCTTGGCTAGTAAGATTTACACACAAAAGGTTTTTAGAAGTATCCAGCTTGTCATAATTTACAACACTAAATATCATTTCTTAGAAAAGAAAATTGTGTAGAAAAAATAGTTTTTAAAAAAATGATTTTTTGTTAAATTCAATATCAAAATCCAAAGGTTAATTCTTTGTATACCCTCATTTCTTGTAACGACTGAAAGAAGGTTGACTAGATGGCTGTCGATTAACGCTCCGTTTCTTCGAATCATATTTGGAAGGGTTTCCCATAGCCTTTGAGGTATAATTTTCATTTCCCCACCCATCTACTTCATCATTCCAGTTGCATTTTATTCCATTAGAATCTTCGAAGTCCCCCCATCCGTTGCTTTCAGGTTTGACAGCAATTGGTTCTTTGGCAGAAACAGTTCCATTCCAAGAAGCTCCTGAATTAGAAAAGTAAGAATCATTTGTATTCTTGTTGCCAATATTATCTTTACATTCTGCAGGATCAACAGATGAACTTGCATGGCTGTTAACCGGCTTGCATGCTTCAGGCGTGAAGGAGGGTATCTGCTTGTTTGCAGGATTTCCACTGCGGGATTTGGGCATTACAGGTGGTGGTATAAAGTTATCATTATCACAAGGGTCAAGAAATTGCTGCAGCAATGAATCGGCATCATCGGGATCATATTTTAGAATGTGAGAGCTTGAATCCCCATCGTCATTTAGAGCAAAGCTTAATTTATTGTTTGGAGTATAGATTGGCGGATTTATTAATGGAGAATTGGTATCAATGTCACAATTATTAGGAGGAACTGGAGCATTTATAGTGTTGATGTCACAACTGTTATCTGTTGCGTTGGGGAAGGAACTACCATTTAAGCCTGGAGTAGAACACATCTGCGGAGGGAACATGCCTTGCGGCACAGTAGCCATACCCATCGATCTGTAGTACATTTCCATAGCTCGAAATTGACTAGCAAGAAAAGGATTACTAAGAAAAAGCATCTGCTGCATCAAGAGTGGATTCATTCCAGCTACCATCATTGGATTCATCCCAGGCATCATACTTGGATCTAATCCAGGCACCATACTTGGATTCATTCCAGACATCATATTAGGATTAATAAAGCCGCCTGTCATTGGGTGGATGGGAAGTAATGGATTAATAGGTGATTCTGAAGGGAGATCAGTTGGTGGCAACACTAAGGGTGAATTATTAAAGGGGGACTCGACTTGGTCATCATTAGATTTATTCAATTGCGATGTTTCATTTATGGTGATGTTATTCAAATTACTAGAGTGGGTATTAAGAGTTGAAGGCTCAACAAATTCTGGGGTCAAGTAAGATTCAATTGGTTTTGAAATGCCACCAAACTCAAGTGACTCAGAAGCTGGCTTTGGAGAATGGATATAAACAGAACTTGAATTGGTGGGAAGACTTTCATTCACTAATGAGTTCGATTCATTTAAAGACTCTGAGTTAATTGTGTTATGCTCATAAATATTTAAATTGGAAACATTTGAAGTAAGTACATCAGATTTTACAAAATCTGATGTTTTTGCAGCTGGCGCTGTTAAGTGGTCACCTGTTACTAAAGAATTATTTTTAGCTTCAGAACTTTCCTCCAAAATAGGACTAATTTGTCTGTTGAAATAAGAATTTTGAGATTCTTTAGCAGATTCATTATCCTCAGAGAGCTTCAGTTCGACCACTTCTTCCAATCCTTTATCAGAATTTATAAAAGATTTAGATTTTATAGAACTATTTTGCATTGTAAGCTTAGCTGGGCTTTGGGAAGCTACAGCTGAAAGATTTTCAGATTGTTCTTTAGTAACTTTATGATGGTATGCATTTTTATATTCATAGTCAGAGTTTTCTGTAGAATTTAGTAGGTTATTTTCACTTTTAGCATTTGCATTGGGTTTTCTAGAATAATCTGATGCCGATCCCCATCCTCCAAACAAATCAACTACTTTTTTAATATCTTCTGTTGATTTTTTGCCAGAACTAGATGACTTTTTATTATCTGCCTTTGAAATGCTTTTATCTATTTTATCAGAATTACTATTAAACTTATCACTAGTCACTTTAAATCCTACTGATGCAGGTTTCTTTTCATCGATTGAAGTATCTTCAAAATTAGAGTAATTCCTTTTATATCTAGCATCTGTATTATCAGAATTATTAGAATCTACACCATTATCCCAAGCATCCCATTCATCAGATTTTTTGGATGAATTCTTTGTCGATTGTTTATGTGATTTATCAGCGGAATCATCCCAATGATTGTCATTTTTGTAACTTGATGAATTTTTAGAAGTTTTTTTGCTACCAGAGTCAGAAGTATCGTTCCAGCTATTTTGTGATTTATCTTTTGAGTCAGCCTGATGATTACCACTTCTGAAACTAGAACCATTTCTAGCAGTTGAATTTTTTAAATTTCCTGAACCTGAATAATCATTCCAATCATCAGAATTTTTAGTGGCAGTTTTCATTTTATGTTTCTGAGATGTTTTAAAAGGAGAATCATCAAAACTATCCACACTGTTATAATTCGAAGAACTTTTAGTGGCAACGTTTTCTTTAGGTTTAGTATCCGAATAGCTATTCCAATTGCTTGAACTTGTATCATCAACCTCACCCCAAATACTTTCATAATCTTTCTGCTTTGAATTTTGTGACTCAGATTTAGTTGTTTCACGAGAGCAATCGTCCCAGATACTTTCGCAACCTGAAGTGTCTTTAGAAGATGAGTTGTTCTTCACTCCATAATTTGAATAATCATTCCAAGTATCCCAATTATTATTATTTGATGAATTATAATCTTGAGCAAAACCCTTTTGCTCAGCTGTTGCATATCCTTCTGATTGGAAATTACTATCAACATTGCACAAATCTTCAGGAACAAATTCTTTGAAGTAATCTGGGTCCAATTTTAACATTTCTTCTTGCATCCGATATTCTTCTTCTAATCGCCTGAAATATAAATTGCATTTTAAGAAAGATGCAACAGTAAGCTTCAAGCTTAAATTTCAACATCGACTACTGTGTAACCCTTTTTAAGGCTATAGTTATTATATTAATAACAAAAATCCCCACTTTTAATATACTTGTGGTAAACTTGTTAATATTCTTACTAGATGGTACAGTAGTTTGAATTTATTTAGTTAAATTGGCAATATGAAATTGCAATAACTAAGATATTAGAAAGGGTTACTTCATAACACTCTCAGGATCAAACTCTTTAAAAGAAAAATTTCGAAATATTGACAAACGCACTTTCAAAATAGGACATAACTTTGAGTGTTTCATACTTATCAAATTCCATTCTACTTATACTTCCTTTAAAAATATTACATGTTTTTCGGAGCACTCAACCTTTTCAATTGCATTTTGCCACAACCTTAAACTACTTTTGTGCTTTAATAATTAAACTAGTACAATAGCATATAAGTTAACAAACATTTTTAAGCTATTTAATTTTTTAATGTAAAAAAAAGAAATAAACTCAAAGATCAAGAAAATTTGCTCCCAATAATTTGATGTCAACCCAAATTTAATTTAAAAGCACATGCACTTTACATTGACAAAATAAAAACTGGCAAAATTTATTTTGTGCATTAATTTAGCAGGGATCAATTATTAGATAAAAATGCCAGAACTTTTATTAGAGGTAAGAAAAAAAGAAGAGGAAGTGGACAAAGAGTACAGATAATTGATTACAATAGAGAAACTTTGAATTACAACACTCAATTCATACGATTTAAAAAACGATATTTCAATGTACATCTAATTATTATTGGAATGCCATTAATTTATTGAAACAATAAATACCAATGATTATGACATTAAAATAAATGATAATAAATAAATTAGGTGAAGTATGATTTTCTTATCACATATTTACTTTATTTTTTACAAAATTAATTTTAAAATAACATAACATGAAATGTAAAATTACTAATATATAATACATGTGCCATAAAAACAAAATTAGAAAAAAACATTCATACTTTCGGTTTGCTTCGTCACTTCTCACATCAAGTTTACTCATTTCTAAAGCAATTTGAATCATTTTTTGCTCTTCAGCTTCACTTGTGGGTTGTAAACTTTTAACTTCTTCAAATTTTTGCTGGCGTTCTGTCCAGACGTTTCTTTGAGATTTTTTCTGAGAACCTCCTGAAATTATAGTATGGAACACAAATTAGCTTTGAATAATAAGTTGGTTAAAACAACAAAAAGCAAGGGGGGATATCACAATATATGTTAGAGGTGCACAATCTGTGACATATTGACAGTTGACGAGTGGTCACAAGGAGAGATTCTGAACAAAATGAATTATTTTAATTATTTATTTTTTCAAATAAAAAAATTGTCAAAATTTTTTAAAGTAATCCAGTAGGTTATTATAAATATTTCGAAATATTTATATTGATACAGAAATCAATAAAGGAAACAGTCTACAGGATTTGACACAAAATGGACAGGGATGATACACAAAAATAAAAAAAATAGTGAGAGTTTCGAAAGATTAAGTAAGAAATCAATAAAATAACATGCTTCGAGAAAAAACTTTTATATTCATTTACATTTTGTCAATTTTGGAATCCATACTATGGATTATTTCGAAAGCTAGAAGAGTGTGCAACACAAGGAGTAAATTGCACAATTTTGCTTTTTTTCTCTAATAAGTATTATGTCTTCTATAATTTTTTCTAGATACCTTCAGTTTTTTTTTATTTGATTGTAATAAAATTGAACAAAGCGCAATTGGTTCAAACATATGTGCAGCTTTTAAAATATGTGATTTTTTAATACAATCTTTAAAAAAATATGTGATATTGGAGTTTGATGTGCTTTATTTGCAATTCTGTCAATCTAAACATTTTCGCATTTTTTAAAAATTTTAATTCTGACATTTTTAATTCATATTTACTATGAATTTGATATTTTTTTAAATGCAATATAAATTAAATATGAAAGAAAAAATTAATAATTGGAGAAACACACAATCATTTTCAAAATGCTAGGATTTTACAAGTTTTGAGGTTAATCTATAGATTACATGCATTTTTTATAACAATCAATTAACGTAACAAAAGACATTTGTGAGTTTTCCACTTTTTAATGACATACAAAGGTCAATGGTTTTAACCTGCAAAAGTAAAGCAAACTAAAGTCGGAAGAACGGAAAAGGTCAGGTGGAGAAGAAACAGTAAGCAAGGGGAGAAAAAAAGTCCTAACTTGAGATAAACTTTAAAAACTGCTTAAAATGAAATCATTCAAATTTTCTTTAAAAAATTAAAATTGATTTTTCATTCTGTTTTGCTTTTGTATATAATCTTTTTTTAAAGACATTTTTATGATAGCACTGCATTTTTAAAAGCGTTACTGATAGACATCTCTTTTAATGTTTTATAGTAATTTTTTTTAATGAAAATATTATTTTTGGCATTAAAAGTTCTGTTTTAAGAGTTAAGAATATTTTTTTCTATTTTCTTTTCAACATTATAATTTTACTTTTTTTTTTTTTTTTTTAATATCAGTCACTCAAAATTTTTTTCATCTTAAATATTTCTAAGAATCTTAATATCTAATTATCTTTATTATCCTAAACATTTCTATTAAAGTTTTTTTTCTTTTACCCCAAACCAATAATACAGCTAAGTTCAGATTATTTTTTAATAATGACTTAAGCTATTTCTAAGAAAAATAAAATTTATTAATGATTTAAAAAAAAAATTGCTATTCGGTCGATAATACTCGGCCAAATCACTATTTGTTACATCCCTACTGTTGATATTCACGATTGTTATTTTTAGTAAGTCAGTTGTAATTAAAATTATCAAAGTCTTTCGAAAAAAATCAGGGGCACTCCATACACTATGGGTATATATATTAATACTGCAGATTAAATTAAACAAAAATCAAACATTCCAAATCTATATTGAATTCTTAAAGTTAAAAATCACTGCAAGTGTCATAAAATATTTAAAATGAACTTGCAAGCCTCTCTATTACTTCTTGAATATAAAATTGAATCGAAATTTATATAATTTTCGAAAACACTATGCTTACTCAAAGTCTTGTTTTTTTTCTTATTTTACAGATTTTTTTTTTAAAAAAATAGAAAATTGTACTACATGATAATGGTAGAAAATGAACTGAATTTTAAAAAAAATTTCAAATTCAAACTGTTAGCAAAAACCAATTTGATCTGAAACATTTCCTCACATCATCACCTTGGGAGCTACAGCCCTTTCAGAGACCTGGCCTCCTTCAAGATTTTAAACCATTTTCATTTGTTGGTTAAATTTTTCTTGCAGTCAGTTATTTTAAGTAATTTCAAGTCCTCTTCCACCTGCTCTCCCCACCTAGTTCTAGGTCTTTCCCTAGATTTCGACCCTTTCGGTTTTCCATCTAATAATTCTTAAATACTTCTTTACAACTCTAATCTCAGGATATGTCCAAGCTATTGGATTCTAATTCTTATACCTGTTACAATGTTTGGTTTATTATATTCACTATAAATCTCATTATTTATTCTGATCCTCCAATTTCCATTTTTACATATTGTGCTCAAAATCTTCCTTAGTTCATCAAATCAAGATTTTATTTATTTATTTTTTAAAAAAGCTATAGAAGGGTAAATGAATTTTCAGTTTTTATTTCTCGATTAGAAGTTTTTCTGATAAAGAGTTTGCTACAGATGTTCGTATCAAAGCTTTACAAAAAATTCAACTTAATAATGGAATCGAAGTAAAATACATAAGTTTAGCTAAATATTACCAAAAAATTAATTTTCGAATTGAAAATTAATCAAATCAATCATCAACCAAAACAGGGAACTAGTTTTGGTTGAATATAATATACTCATTAAAAAGGAGTAACATTTGATCAGATTTTAAATGTTCAGAAATAGTTGGTGAGTTTGGTATAGTTCTTAGAAATTATAACGTCTAAGATTATTAGGTTATAAATACAAAAATCAATATTTTTTCTAATTAACCAATGAAAGATCTCATCTTAACAAGCACACCGTTTTTCTTTCTCTTAGATTACTTGAATGACAATTTATGCAAAACTTACTTGAGTAATATTCTTTTCCTTTTCTTATTATGAATGCTTTATATTACCAGAGTAATTATCTGGCTTGCAACACTGTGCACATTAATACTCTGCCATTCAAACGTATAAGAGTTTTGAGATTACTAAGTTACATTGTATAGATAAAGTCTCATAGAAGAATTAAAATTTAATGACAAATAAATAGTCTGTTGACAGTAAACATGACAAAATAAATATTTGCAGTTGTTAAAAAAATAAACATTTGTAACTACCTTAAAACTAACATACATGTGAAAAAAATATAAAGGGGGTTATTTTCGAAAGGACTATAAACAGCTTACCTAAAGATGGAAAATCTTGCTCAATACTATTCCATAGTGTAGGAGTTTCTTTTTTCTTCCTCATAGATTCTTCCCAAGAATCTTTTTTATTCTATTAAAAACAGATATAGAATCATTAAAAAAAAGTTACAGTATAGATAAATTTCATTGCTTTATCTCATATAATTTTTATTCAATTCAGTACATATTATAATTGGTGAGAATTACAAATTTAGACATTATAATTTGTAAAAAAAAAAAACATTTTCCAGCTACAGGGTATCTGCTACATTTTAGATATTCAAATTCATGACTTTTCATGATTTTCCATGACTAATTCCAAGAAGTTTTAATGACTTAACGAAGTTGCTATTTTCTCCAACAAAAACGCAACAATAAATTAAAAAAAGCATTATAATAACATTATTCGAAATAGGCATAACCAAAACTATTATACTCTTCATATTTATAGATTTTAAACTTAAAAAACAGAGTAAAGAAAGAGTTGAAACAATAAAATAGTTGAAAAAATACAAAAGCAAAAAAAAAATTTCTGCAGAATTATATTCTAAAGATACTTTTCTTGTTCATCAGAAAGGAAAGAAATACTCCTGATTTTTCTGTTCATTTCGAGGAAAAAAAAATTCGCCAATAACTGGTTTGCTTCAACTAGAATTTAATTGATAAAATTAAAAAAAAATAATAATTCTTAAATCACAGAAGAGAGTTTAAAGGATAATTCGCTCTAGAAATGATATTTTTTCTTTCATTTTTTGAAAGAACAGGATAAAATCATTTTATATTCAAATAAAATATGACTGAGTGGTGATTTTGTTAGAAATTCAGATATTTGGAACAGGATCAAATTGAGGGGAGGGAGATTCTATTTTAAAAATTAGATTTTTCGGAGACCTAAATCTATGACTATCCATGATTTTTGTAAAAAATAGTAAAAATCATGACATTTCATGAAATTTTGTTCAATACCGAAATTCACGACTTTCCATGATTTTTCATGACTTTCCAGGAGCGCGGATACCCTGCAGCTAAAAAAGCAAACTTTTAAATAAACTTCTGGCATTATTACAATATTATCTCGTCAAGTCCAAAAAATAGATTTTTCCGAATAATAGGTGTTTAAGGTAAACAAACATCAAAACATCTGTAAGCAAAAATAACTAACTAACAGATGATAAATTAATGTAAATTTAATCAACAACATGTAAATCCACATGATTTTAAAACGCTCAATATTTTAATATGCCATTACATATAACGTATTGCTACTTCTGAATCATGCCGTTTAGTTAGCAATCCGTTGAAATGAATCCGAACACAGTGAATCTGCATGATTTTGTCAATCATTTTTTGGGTAGTTAGTAAAACGGATTTTCACTTGGTCTTTAAGATTTTAATATATCATTTCGTTCGACAAATTTTGAATGGCCGATTTTGCACTCAAATATTGACGATTCACTCGCAATCCCTTGAGGGTTTACGGTAACATTTTTGTCACTTATTTCCATAGATTTCCATAGTTTTTAATGCCACATTATCATGCACAGGAAATTTCGAATCGCACATATTAAGAATTACCTTTTTTTGCACTCGATTTATGACAATTTCCTTATTCATGTGGTTTTGCCAATGGCATTTATAACAATTTGGGATATCCACATAGTTCTTTAAATTTTGTTTTAATTTTTAATGAAATATTATTACAATCAAGGAATTCCAAATTGAGTTTTTGAATAATCACTTCACGATCGGTTTAGTTGTGACAATTTTATCTCAAATCTGCAATTTTTTCAAAATGTTAAATTTTTGCACACTCAGAAATTTGAGTGTGTGATTCTTGGCGGCAATAATCCTTTGATGCAAGACGTGAGAAAAAAGTGAAATTTCTTTTGCTGCAGTAATATGCTGGATTTCTAATTTTTTTTGCACATTATAGTGTAAATTAGATTAAAATCAAACAAAAATCAGAAATCAGGTAAAATCATAATGAAGCAGAAAAGCGAAGAATTCTCATTGGCTCATATTTTTTTAACAGATGGAAAGTAGAAAAATATTTTTTTTTAAAAGGAGAAAGTTTATTTTTTTCGTTTATTTTATTGTTTAAAAGTGTGCGGAAAAAGAGAGGCTTCCCATACACGGACGTCCAGATATAGAACTTTGTACTGGAATACTGTCTTTCATATTTAACAATATTTTAATATCTTTTTTTGTACAGTACACTGTTATCAAGGTCAGAAGTTTTCAAACTACAAGTCCACTGTAGCAGATCTGACATGTCAGGCACCTAACCCACCAAATTTCCATTATATTTTAAAGCTTACAATCTGAGTAAATTTTACAAAAAAAAAAACTTAATTATACAATAATTAATATATCTAATACAGGAGTCTAACTCAATTTCAAAAAATTGTATCAGGTTTCTTTTCAGGAAAATATAAGTTTGGTATCATAAAAAACTGATTATGAAACATGTAAAAAAAATTTTGTATCAGGAAAAAACAGTTTGTATCAGGTACAAGACAAGTTGTGTAGCAAAAAAAAAAAAAAAAAAAAAAACTTTTGTAGCAGATAAACTCAAATATAGTTTTCAGCTAGTGTTAGGTAAATTCAAGTTTTACAACTAAAATGAATACATTATTAAGCGAAAAATTCTGTGATGAAAGTTTCGGGATTGTAAAAAACTATAAGAAAATCAACAGCAAAAACTGCCCAAATAAAAATAAACCGATCGAAGCACCACATGTATTTTCACAAATTGAGTGTGTCAAAAAGTAATTCCTGAAATGTGCAATTTGAATTTCTCGTTCTCAATAAAATCGTACGAAAATATCAAGATATTTTTCTTTCACAGAAGTCCAAAACTAACAGTCTTAAGATCCGTACAGTTCTTCGAAATAAGCCGAAAATCATATGTAATTTGATAACGGAGAAGGAAGTAATTCATAGCCGTGGCAAAATTGATATTGATAAAAAAAAATGAAACAATATCATGAAATAATCGATGCACAGTTTCTAATATTATCAAAAAATAATCAATGCACAGTTTCTGAAATTTTGGCACAAGTGTGCAAAATAATACATTTGTTTCAGCTTGTATTACCATTTTTGATTAGGCGCAGATGTGGGATGCATTCTAAGAATATTGAACTATTTCATTGCTATGTTGATATAAAATTTGCCCAGAAAACTTACAGAATGTAAGATAATTATGTACCATAAACATCTTACTTGTGGGGTAGTTTTGAAAGAAAAATTTGATACACTTAAAAAATTTAATACATTTCAAAACTGCAGTGTATGATGACATACCTAATTGTGGGCAAGAAAAGAATAAATAAGAACTAAAATGAACATTCAAAGAAAACATTACCCATGCACCATTGCAGGCATTAGTTGGAGTCTGATCCCAAGTGTCCATGCTTGCATTTCTAGAGCTTTTGCTGCTTGCATTTGAACCCTCCCAGAGCTTTTTCTCACCCTAAAATTAAAATTAGTAAAATGAAACTTGGAGTATAGTTTGTCTAAAATAATCTTGCTAAATATTCAGTTATGCCAACAAAATTCTTTATTTTCTGTAAATAAAATGTTTCATTTATAAGGGTATATATTAAAAGAATTAATACTAAAAAGCTGAATTAGAGTTGTGAATGAGAATAGTTTTCTTAACTCTGTCATGTTCCTATTTCAAGTAAAAACAGAACATTTTGTTTTAAATTCATTGCAATAAATATTTTTAAGAAAATTTTTATGGAATAAAAAAACAACCATGTTTGAGAAGATTTATAATTTTCAAACCAATATATTTTTTATTAGTTCTGGGTGAAATATAAATAAATGGGTTTAAAACGATTTTTCAAAGGTATAAACACATTCCTATGGCCAGAAAATTGATACGCTTCCTTAAATAACAAATACTGATAAATTATTTATTCTTTCATCATTTATATATTTCTAATAGTAGTATTTCTTTTTCATCCTCTATCATTCTTAATATTATTCTCTATTATTATTATGATTTGATATTTTACTTTTATCGCAAATTAACAGTTTAAAACTGAAAGTGGTATTCTTTTATTATAAAATAATCCAGTATTATCACCTTATCAGATAATATTCTGTAAAAAAATATTGAAAAATTTAATGAAAAATCATATTGAAAACGGTATACAATTTTGAAATTATCACTAAACAGCAGTGTTTTCACTACAGAACAAGAATGCGAGAACCTCGCATATTTTTTTCTTTTCTCGCATTAAAAAATGATTAAGACGAGAAGTTCGCGCACTCTATTAATCAATTTTAAAATCCGCGAATCTCTCGAATTTTGGAAAAAATTTCGTCTTCCGCAAATTTGAATAAAATCCGCCATTTTGAAAAAGATATGAAAACAGCTACGACAAGTGTTGAGAAAAAAAAATGAGTCCTTTATAATAAGTTGTTTAAAGTTAGCTCCATTTTTAGCTGTAAATGAATTACCGAATTCCCTCCCCGACAATTTACAGCAATTTGTAAAAATTGAAGTGTGTGAAAACTATGCTGGAAGACCTAACAAGAAGTATGAACATGGAAATAACTTCAACGAACTTCACTATACTATAACAAAAATAATTGAAAAGCCTATAGTGGCAGATGTAGAGGATAGGCAAGTGCGTGCACAATGCTACAAATTTAAT